GGAGCTTTGAGGCCTGCAGGGGGGATGGGCTGGGGACGGAAGATTCTTGGGCCTCTGCAGACCCTGTGGAGAACCACAGCATCAAGAATGGCTGGTGCCCACAGACGCTCGGTAAGAGGCTGAAGGAACAGTCAGTACAGCAAAACAGGGCAGAATAATTGGATGAGAGAATGGAGTGCTGGAGGATAAAGGAGAAGAACCGAGGAGGAAAGAAAGGGCTGAGGGCTCACATGGCACCTTGTGACCGGGGTGCTCACAGCCTCGACTGAGCCCCTCACTCGCCTCACTTCCGTTACTTCTTTTGCAAAGTGAAGACGGCGGCAGCAGCTGTGAGGCCGACCTGACGCGGTGCGTGTGAGCGCCTCACACGGCCCTGTGTGAGGGCCTGGTAGGCCCTGCTCTCTTCATGGCACTGGGCAGCACCAGGAAAAAGAAGTAATTCTTGATTGTTTTCAATCTCTGTTCTCTGAATGTATGAGCTCAGGCTCTTCTCACCTGCAGGGAGGGCCCCACAGCCCCCTGGGTAGAGAGTGCACTGTAGTGGTCGCAGATGAGAGGGAAGGAGAGCTTGTGTAGCTGCCCGGCTCACGCGGGCTTCTCCAGCCCTTCCTCTGGCTGCAGGGACAGGACTGCGGGTGAGCACCTAGCCCAGCCAGCACCTTCAGCCCCTGTCCTGGGGAGCACTGCTGGGCTGCCCCGCCCTGGCTGTAGGAACACTTTCAACTCAGGAGAAAAAGGAGAGAACTCAGAGGGAAGGAAGCAGGTGGCCCAGCAGAGCCTCAGCAAGGGCATCAGCCCCTGCAGTGTGCCACTGCACAGTCCTCTGTACTCTAGTCTTTCTGGTCCCCATGGCCCTGCTCCTGGAGCGGCTGTCATTTGCAAAGAGTTAGCAGAACCTTGGCTTCAGCAAGATCTCCTGCCCCTGGGGTGAAGCTAGCAGGAGCAGGAGAGGGGGAGGGCTCACCTGGCAGTGGGCTTCCTCACTGGAATGTCATAAGCCCGGCAGATATTCACCAGCAGCTTTATGTCTCCGTCAGACAGGTTCTGGGCTGTCACCTTCTTCCGGCCTTTGCGCCTTGGTCTCAGTGGTCGCTTTTGTTCTGCCAGCTTGAAAAGGCTTAGGCCCCAAATGCTAATGATTGTAAAACTCGATTAGGATTAGGACACCAACAAACTGAAGGCCCCCAAAGCTGGGTGGTGGCTTCCTAGACAGCCCCAGCCACCAGCGACTCCCTGCGGCCTTTGAGAGCGCTGCCTTTCTGAGGCCTTTGGGAGTGCTCTGGCAACTCTGCCAGGGCGCATGCGTTCTCAGCACTTACTTTCTTGGAGGAAGACAGGAAGACAAGCAAGTCTGGCCCTCTGCATCGTGCACCTGAAGCCCCCCCACCCCGTGCTGTCCCACCCCTTGCCTCCCCTCTGCTCCAGCCAGTCCCTCCCTTCCTCCCTCTCTCCCTCCCTCCCTTCCCAGGGAGGGGTAGCATCTTCCCACACCCTCCCTGCATCTTCCTTAATCCCAGCCTGCTCCAAACCCAGGGCGGGGGCTTGGGCTTCTCCCCCTCAGGTTAGATGGAACTGGGTGCAAATCCTGGTTACACTCCAGAGAAGTTCTTTCACCTTGCTAGGTCTCTCTTTCCTGCCTGAAAAATGAGGTCCTTAATACCTTCCTCTGGGTGGATGAGAGGACTGACATTTGACAGATGCCCTTGTAATGGCAAATTTTGGGGTGAGGGCAGTGACGGTGATGCTACGGACTGCTGGAGGAGGAGAAGGAGAGTCCTTCACTGAGATGGCAGGCAATGAAAACCTCCCAGAAATGAGGGCAACCAAGCTGGTGAATGATGGGAGAAATGTCTTTGAAGCAAATCAGTTCTGGCCCGACTAAACAGAAACAGAGGTGACTTCATGTCTGGAAGCTGACACCAGTGACTGCCAATGGCCGCAGAACACGGCCAGCTGTGCTGAGCTGCCATGGGCCGGGGTGCTCCTGGCTCTCTGCTTCCCTGCTGGGAACTGGAATGGGCTCAGCAGTCCAGCCTGGACTCCTTCCAGAGGTGCCCAGCAGCTGAGGAGGCGGGGACTGTGGCTTTCTCTGGGTGCTCAGGAATCCTGGGGGATTTCTAGGTGCAGCGTCTGTTGTTCTGCAGGGTCTGCCGAGGGCAGGTATGTTATAAGCACCTTCGCTGTAGCAGGGAGAGTGCTGCACCTTACCTATAATATATCTAATCCTCACAAGTATACTGTTCACCCCACTTTTCAGACAAAGAAACTGAAGGCTCTGAGAGGTGCCAGGATTTGCTGAGTCATGAAATTTTTTTCTTTACTAAGAAAATAAAGTAGGAGAACTGGGACTCAAACCTGGGCCACTGACTGCGCATGCCCAGGGCAGAGTCACCGGACCAGGATACCTGTCTCCCCTAGCTAGGGGCCTCATAGGCACAGCTCTACACCCCAACACAACAAATCCTTTTTCTTATCGATACCCCTACCCTCAAGGTGACCCCTCTCGGGACCTCAGTGCCCCTGCAGCAGTCGTGGGAGGACCATGTCCCATGGACCATTACATAGAGAGACATCTTAGGTGGAAGCCAAGAACAAACCAAAATTAAAATAAAAGAATGGACATACCCAGAGCCTTCAGAACTTAATGCAGAAAGTAAAGCCGAAAAAAAGAAAAAGGAAGGAAAGAAAGGAAAAACAGCATGAAAAACTGTCATCTGTTCTAAGTGAGCTTTTCTTGACTGAACATTCAATAGCTACACTTTGGGTCTGGAAGAGAAGGCATTCCCCCCATCAATTTATGTGGCTGCCGCCTCTCATCTACACAGGCTGCCATGAATGGAAATAAATTTATTTATGTATTTATGTGTTTATTTATTTATTTACCTATGGCTCCCTCCCAGCTTGATGGTGGAGCAGAAGCACACACACACAAGAAATAGCCTTTTCAGGAGGCCAAGAGATTTGATCACAGAAAAGCCCGGGAATTGATTGGGCCCCTCGAGACCCCCCAATATGGAGTGTTATCTTTTACCTTTTATCCCTCCATCCCTAGCTGAGATCACTGGGGATTATTCTAAATAACAGGACAGCCATCCATCAAATGCTGTCATTTGCCAACTTCCCTGCCAGTCCTCACTTTGCCTGTCCTTTTGCCCCTCCTGGGTGAGCACACGCCCCACCTCTGTGCCTCCAGGTAGTGGTGAAGGGACCAGGCCTCCCTTGGGACCCCAGAACTTTGGCAGGTGAGGACCCAGCTGCCCCCCCTGCAGTCTGATGGGAAGGCTTGCCAGCCTGGCCTTGGAGGCTAGGAAGCAGAGGTGCATGTGCGGGAGGGCAGTGAGCACAGCAAAAGCTGGGTGGCTCCCCTGGCAGCCTGGCAGGTAAGGCAGAAACTCACCAAATAATGTCACCACCACGATGCATTGTTCTGCAGAGTGGTGGGGGGCGGCCCGAGGGGCTGGGAGAGGGTCCGGCCCACGCTGCACCTGGGCTGGGACTGGTCCCGCCGGCGCAGGGTAGCAGGAAACTCTCCGCACACTCACCGGACCTGGGCTAGGACTACGATGCATTGTTCTGGATCCAAATGCATGTGATGGTTTTTACACTACTTGGTATTGTCAATGTATCACGTACAGGTATAAGTTTTATGATAAAGAATTCACAGAACAAATAAATATGTTGAGTGGGAGAAACAGAAGGATTAGCCTGTTTTGTTCAAGTTCTTTGGCGTTCCTGTTTAGGTTACCAAAGATTGATCACCCAAGCTTTCAGGGTAGCTGGCAGTCAGACATTGTGCTGCCCACCACCATCTTCTTAGAGCACTTGAATGTTTTTATTTGTAAAGAGAACTATCTTATTAAGTTTTGGTTGAGTAAAAAGTTTTGTTTGTCTTTTGTGTGTCCCCTCTTCCCTTCCCCTCTCCAAAGTACACTATTCCCTCTGTCTCTGGATATATTCCAAGACCCCCAGTGAATGCCTGAAACCCCAACTCAAACTGAATAACAGATATCTATATTTTTTCCTTAGATGCACAGATCTATAATAAAGTTTAACTTGAAATGAGGCGTATCATGGGATTAACAGCAATAATAAAATAGAACTATAATAAAAGTTACATGAATGTGAAAAAAATCTTGTATGACATCTTTCACTTTATAGAATAAAGATTTTTATAGGAAATAATAATAATGGCTTCATTTGATTATTTCTTACCTGATGTTGGGAACTTCATCTTCTACAACCAGATCAGTGAGAAGAATATGATGTTTTGCAGTTAGAAAACGATTTACTACGGATTCTCTAACCTGGGGAGAGAAATTGGCTTTAGTTAAAGATGTTCTCATTCGTTAAGTGTTATGGTGTACAGCCTGTCTTCCCGTGAGCCTCTGCTCTGCTCTCACCTAAATGTCCCCACCCTTAGTGACTTCTTTGCTGCCCTGGTCTCTTCTTGCACTTTCCTACCCATAGTCTGTAAATTTCCTAAAGGCATGGCTTATATTTTCAGGAGCAGAAGGTAGTCAACTTCCACTGAATGAATGCAGGAGCGATTACAAGAAAGCAGAGCAGGGCTGGCCAAATAATTCAGCAGATTAAAGCCCCTGCAAGCAGGTGCAGGGGCTGGGAGTTTGATCCCTGGGCCTGCCGTGCTGGCCCCAGGGGCCGGGAGTTTGATCCCTGGGCCTGCCGAGCTGGCCCCACCCCTGGGGTGTGCTTAGAAGGCAATTGAGACTGGGCATGGTGGCATATGCCTGTAAAGGGTCTCCAGGGTCTCACTGCATAGATTGGACTCATAGTGATCCTCCTGCTTACAGCCTCCCAAGAGCTGGGGTTACAGGAGCATGCCACCACACCCAGTTTCAGTGGCTGTCTCAGTATGCCCTGGGGGTGGGGCCAACACAGCAGGCCTGGGGATCAAACCCCCAGCCCTTGTGCCTGCTTGCAGGGGCTTTAATCCGCTGAGCTATTTGGCCGGCCCTGAGAGGTGAGGCTTAACATGGCATAGACATTTGCACGAGTACAGAGCTTTCCACCCCCAGCCCGTCCTGGGCCTTCTTTGAAGCCTCCTCCCTACCTGCTGGAGGTACTTGGCCACAACAGCCCGGTGGGTGTCTATGTGATCTCTGGTTTCAATTACACTTTTGTCTCGTAGCCGCTTCTCATAGTCCTAAAATGAAAGGAACATCATAGTTTTAAGATTTTAAAGGGTTCTCTGTGACTCTTCTGGGGAATGGGGAATTATTTATCAAAGTGGCATTTAAGTCACAAATTAGGGTTCTGGAACTCTGGGTCAGGATCAGTTAGTTGAACAGCCTGCCTAGTATATAAATATAGTATTTAAAAGTTAAGATATTCATGCAGGAGGAAATGGAAGCTGCAGAAGAAGCAAAAAGTACTTATATTTCAAGATGCTGAACTCCACAAGCAACTCACCCAAGCACCTGCTTAAGCTCTGTCTCTTCTGTTGTAAGTACAACAATTACAAAACCCATGGAAAGTTCCAGGGAAAGCACTGCTGGGATCACACACTTATCTCCGGTAGCTGTCAGCCCTGTATGTTCCACCCTCCTCCTGTGAAACAGCATAGGCACCCGGGAGCGGCCACGCTCTGCTTTACGCCCAGGCCCCGTGGAAGATGAAAGGCCAGCAGTGGCTTCTAACCCAGGCGCAGAGCTGGAGCTGTTCCCCCAGACTTCTGAGCCTGGAGGGGAGGTCATCTCCGTTTCTACTGGCTAAAGCCACCAACATAAACTTGGGTGATGCTGGTGACTGTGAGACCCGGGGACAAATCCTGTTTGCAAAAGGGGAGAAGGAAGCTGCTATCCCAGAAGCCTGGCCAGGATGGAGAACAGGCTCTGCATCCTGGGCTGAGGCACAGGGGGCCTCCCTTAGTCCCATATCTTCAGATGGTCAGTAGTATTTTGGCATAAAATACCAATAAACTTCCACTGGTGTCTGAAGTTGTGAAAAATTGAGTTCTAATCTCTCAAGATCACAAGTGCAAACCACTGGTTGGTAGGAAGAACCAAGTGACAAAAATATCCCCAAGGAAAGTTTCTGCCTGGGGAGCCGGGGGAGATGGCTCAGTAGAATAAGGGCTTCCCTGGCAAGCTCAAGGGTCTGAGTTCAATCCCTGGGGTTCAAAAAAAAAAAAAAAAAAAAAAGATTCTGCCTGAAAAGAAAATTATTCTGCACGAAAGAGATTAAATATCAAATTCAAGAAAAATGATGGACAGGCTGTGTACACATACACTACAAAAGAAAAACTGAGGAGCCGGGGAGATAGCTCAGTGGAATAAGTGCTTCCCTGGCAAGGCCTGAGTTCAATCCCCAGTTCTGCAAAAAAAAAAAAAAAAAAAAAAAAAGAAAAAAACTGATTTTGATATTGAGAACTTCAGCAAAGTGCACAACCACCTACCAATACAGCACAGGAAGTATTTTATTATTTTATTAATCCCTCTCAGGAAATTTGTTACCTGGAATACTTTTTCCATAATTTCTCGGTCATACGCCGGAATTTGTTTATAGTTTCGGAATTCCGGCACCTCTTGGCTTCTAAGACAAAGAAGCCTGAACCGTTTGGATCTATTTAACTCCTCATTAGTGACAAAGTTAAATTCCTGTTGCAGCTGTTCCAGTCGAAAGAAATCAGGGACATAGGATTCTCCACTGGTAGCAACCTATAAAATTCAGAAAACGCACAACTTCAGACCACAAGCAGACTTCATCCAAAGAAACCCAGAACCTAGCTTTTGGTAATGTTTAACAGTTCTGGATGACAGGGTTGAACACCAAATCTTGCAAGATATTTGTAACACACCAGATAGTGTCATATTCACTTATCAGTTGTAAGAAGTACCATAAATCATTTATCAAAAAACATAAAAATTCCTAGTTCTGCATCTTATGTGCATGGTTCTGTAACAGTGCTATGGGCCAGCCAAATAGCTCAGCAGATGAAAGTGCCTGCAAGCAGGCACAGGGACTGGGGGTTCCCTGAGACAGCGATTGAGACTGGGCATGGTGGCGCACGCCTGTAATCCCAGCTCTTGGGAGGCTGTAAACAGGAGACTCACTATGAGTCCAATCTAGTA